TTACTTTAGCTGCATTCATCGTGAAACTTGCTAATTAGCACATTGGAAAGGCGATTGGCAAAGATTCTTTAAAAAACTTTATACTCACTTCTTCTGTGGGTGAAGCTGGATCATGAATGATTCGCGCGAACATACACGCATTTATGTAGATCGGGGGCGCATTCTCTTCAGAAACAAACATAATCCACTGCGTCTTCAGCGGCTCAGATGTCGGGAGTAAATGACGGCTGCTATGTTCATTATTACATCCAACAACAGAACACCTCAGTCGCTTAGGAGTCATTCTCGTCTACATCTGCTCCAGCGGGGAAACAATGATGGACTGATGACAGCTCACTCAGGGCGGAGCTAAGGAAAGACACCAGTCCAGTCTGTGCTCAAACGCTACTGTCAATCAAACTATCGTGGGAGGGGCCTGTTTTTGTGACGTCATACAGACAGGCATCTGAGATTGGCTCGATTTGGGAAAGGGGTAAATATTTGAGTAGATTAAAAAAAAAACACTGGGTGGATTTTTATCATTATAGGGTGGTTGTGTACACACACTGCCTACACACATTTCAGTTCAAACTACTTATAAAAGTGCATGTAGCATCCTAGGACCCCTTTAAGGGTGCTTAACTGGCAGGTACATTGTAATTGATAGCAAGTAAAAGTAAAATTTTCTTTTTTCCATTTGTCCTGTGCTCTCTTAGGGTGGATCTGGGGGCGCGGGAAGATGTTTCGGTTGGGGGTGCTGTGTGAAAGGGGTGGGGGGGTCACCTCATTTGACAACTCCACAAAGCACTACAAGCGCGAAACTTTCAAAAGGAAACTGAGTAAGCCTAAATTGAGATCAATCATCAAGCCCTGGCTTCCCAGAATCAGAAACTCAAGGAAGAACATTGTTACATGAGGTTGGAAATGAAAAGTGAACTATCTAGACTGTTTCAAAAAGCCCTGGAAATTGAAAAAGAACGAGAGCAGATTGCTTTAGCAGTTCTGAAGGACGTAGAGTACAGGCTGGTGGAAAGGCAGAGGGCCTTTTGCAGTTTTTTGGTGCCCCGTGTGAGGAGGGTGGAGATGGAGAATGACCTATTGATTTATACGGCCAAAGAGCCCCTTCTTGCACATCTGGAGATGGAGGATGGTCTCAGGGATATTTTTTAAATGATTGCAGTTGTGCCGAGTATCTCAACACAGATGAGCGCAGGAACGGGA